TTAAAGAAAAACCCCAAAGAGTTGATCTTTGCCCTAAAATATGTTCCTGTTTCTCCTCCTCCCCACAGATTCACCGTTTGGAAACACCAGCACCAGCCTGTCATATCTGATGGAGTGCTCCTGTGTGGTGCACAACACCCAGCAGGGCGCCTGGCACAGAGCAGACTGGAGGCACTGGCCAGGATCAGTTTCTTAGAAAGCATCTTGTTCTATTGGAAAAGACACAGGCTTTGAATAAGACGACTCTGAGCGGGCTCGGCCAAGTTCCTCTTCAAGTCTCTGTTTCTTCACCTGTAAAACTGGACAGCACCTTGTGTGGTTTTTTGTTTTTGTTTTTTGGGGTTTTTTTTAATTAGAGTCTCACTCTGTCACTCAGACTCGAGTGCCACTGCAGCCTCGACCTGCTGGGCTCTGGTGATCCTTCCGTCTCAGCCTTCCAAGTAGCTGGAACTACAGGCGCATACTACCATGCCCGGCTAATTTTTGATTTATTGTAGAGATGAGGTGTCACCAAGTTGCCCAGGCAGGTCAAACCCGCGGGCTTAGGCAATCCACTCACCTCGGCCTCCCAAAGCGCTGGGATTACAGGCTGAGCCACCGAGCCCGGCCACCTTGTATGGTTATTGTGATGATTCGATGGATGAGGGAGCACCTCTCACATAGCCAGTGTTCAATTAGCGGTGGCTTCTCAAAGCACCCCAAGAGTTCACCACCATTCCATGTAGCATTTCTGATGCTATTATTCCAGCAACTGACTCATGCTGCACATTAAAAATCCATTTGATAAATAAAAACGAATGAATGAACATGAACAGATGGATGAGTTATCAGAGCCCCACCATGCTCCCTGCTGATGAAGAGGACTAGGGTGGTCTGAACACTGGAACTAGATGAGGTACTGGGCTAGATGAGGCAGTAGCAGAACTAGAACATTTAGAAGAGACTTCAAACTTCAGGGAAATGGGATTCATTTTTCAGCAGCTCCTTCCACAGCTGTAGAGAGAGCCCTCATAGTCACAGCCATCATTCCTCTTTCCCTAGCCAGGAGTTAGCCTGTATTCTGAAAAAAAAAATCCCCAAGCATCCCAACTTCTCAGAAATATTCTTTGATATCTGTAACTGTAACTTCCACCTGCCTTTACAATACTATTCTCTGTTCAAAAAATCATCAGTGATTAACTTCCCCTTCCTGATGGGACTCAAGTCCACACCTTTGAACTTGATGTATTAATTAGGAAAACACTAGCTACTGTAAAAGATGAACCCCACAATTTTAACAGTAGAACAAAATAGAAACTGATTTGTTGGTCAAGTGAAGTCCAAAACACATGGTCCAGATTAGCAAGCAGCTCTCTGCCAAGTGGCGATTCAGGGAACCAGGTTCCTTCCATCCTGTGGCTCCATTATCTTTAATATGTGACCTGGCCGGGCTCGGTGGCTCAGACTGTAATCCTGCGCTTTGGGAGGCCAAGGTGAGTGAATTCCCTGAGCCCGTGGGTTCGAGATCCGCCTGGGCAACTTGGCGAGACCTCATCTCTACAATAAATCAAAAAAATTAACCGGGTGTGGTAGCGTGCACCTGTAGTTCCAGCAACTACTTGGAAGGCTGAGGCGGAAGGATCACCGGAGCCCAGCAGGTCGAGGCTGCGGTGGCCAGGAGCGGCCACTGCACTCCAGTCTGGGTGACTGAGTGAGACTCCAACTAAAAAAAAAAAAAAAAACTATGTGGCCTCAGGGTTACCGTGCTTAGGGTTATTTTCATCAAGCCAGAAAGGAAAGAATATGAAGAATCTCTTTTGGGAGGTTTCATGAGTCATACCTGAACGCAGAACACATCTATTAAAAGAGAAGCTGAGGCCAGGCATGGTGGCTTATTCCTGTAATCACAGCATAGCTGGGAGACCAAGACAAAGGATCACTTGAACCCAGAAGTTCAAGACCAGCCTATGCAGCATAGCAAGACCTTGTCTTTACAAAAGATTACAAAAGATTAGCCAGGCATGCTGACATATGCCTGTAGTCCCAGCTATTCAGGAGGCTGAGGTGGAAGGATCACCTAAGCCCAGGAGGTCGAGGCTGTGGTGAGCCATGAGTGTGCCACTGTACTCCAGCCTGAGCAACAGAGTGAAAAAAAAGAAGAAAAAGAAGCTGAAAAAGGTGGTCCAGCTGTGTGTCCAAAAGAAAGAAACAGGTTCTGATAAACCCATAGCAGGCTCTGTCTCACCTGGCATTCAAAATTCTCCACACGCTGGCTTAAACCTACCTTTCAAACTTTATCTTCCATTATCCAACTATGGCTATCGGTCATAACAGCCATAACAAACAACCCCAAAATCTCAGTGACTTGCAGCAATGTTTATATCTGACTTACGCATACATAGGTCACAAGTGGGCAGTGGCTCTGCTCATAGGTTTTCTCATTCCAGAACCCAGGCAGAAGGAGCAATCCTCCCGTGGGATACGCCCATTCTAGTGTTAGAGAAAAACAAGAACATGGATACTCAGATGCTCACACATGAGTCGCATCTGCTCACATCCCATCCACCAAATCATGAAACATGACCAAGCTCAAAGTCAATGAAATGAGACATACACTCCTACAGGACATACTGCAAGTCACATGGCAATGAGCAGAGAGAAAATAATTTCTATCAACAAGTCAGTCGACTACAACTGCCACTCTCCATGTGGAGTACCTGACAGATCCTACCCAGCACTCTTTCCTCAGAATACTTCTCAACACATTTCAGGCCATTACCAATAATGAGTTTGCCAATGAATAAATAAATAAGTTGAAATCGATGTGCAAGAGGGAGGGAGGGACACCTCATCAACAAGGGTACCTGCATAATGGCCATTTGTATACCTGACCCTGAATTGTATCCCACATTTTTAAAACAAAAAAAAATTGTTTAAAGAAAAAGAAAAATCAATGTGCTATTCTTATGTGACTCTTTAGACTCCATAAACATGATCCATTCCCACCTTTGAATCTTTGGGCCTAAAATAAGCTTATCCTAGCCAGGTGCAGTGGCCCACGCCTGTAATCCCAGCACTTTGGGAGGTGGAAGTGAGAGGACTGCCTAAGTCCAGGGGTTCGAGACCAGCCTGGACAACTTGGCAAGACCTCGTCTCTACAATAAATCAAAAAAGTAGCCACGCATGGTGGCACACGCCTATGGTTCCAGTTACTTGGAAGGCTGAGGCAGAAGGATCACCTGAGCCCAGCAGGTAGAGGCTGTGATGGTCGTGAGCGTGCCACTGCACTCCAGCCTGGGCGACAGAGTGAGACTCCAACTCAAAAATAAAAAAATATAAATAAGCTTATCCTTCCCAGTCCCCATCCTGCCAAACTACCCAAATTTAACCTATTTTTCAAATATCTATATTTTTCTTTCTCTCAGTAAAATTTATTGAATATTTAGCATAGTCCCTGGCTCACATATTTGTTGAATGAATCTGTCTCACATTACCTTGTGCATTGTCCTCAGCACATAGATGCTCAGTGAAATCTGTTTCCCGTCAATTAACCACACTATTCTTTAGAACCATGGGAGTTAGTATCCCATGCCTGAGGTTCTAGTGTGGGAGTATGGTGTACTGACTGCTTAGGCTTGAATCCTGATTCTACCACTTACTAGCTGGATGCCCCCAGACAAATCACTTAATTGTCTGTGCCTCAATCTCATCATACGTAAAATGGGACTAATAATAGGACATACTATATAAGGCTGTTGTATTAAATGGAAAAATTCCTACCATAGTTTGAATACATTGTAAGCACCCAATAAATGAAAGTTGTTATCACTTTTAGCTCCATCTGAGACTGGGTTTTCTTTTAGGCCTTTATTTCGGGTGGAAGACAAAAACCGGGAACACTTGAGACTTGGGCCTTGAACAGGCCTCACTCTTAACCTGCCCAGGACCATGACCCAACTTCCTCACCCAGAAGCTGGTTCCCTAACTCATAAATCTTGACTAATGACATAGACACATCACCTTAATATTTGGGCAGCCCAGTAACTTACTGTTAACTGCCTGGAGATCTTCAGATGAAAGAGGCCCAGGGGCAGACACCCCATTGGGTCATTTAAAGCAGAACACTACCAAAAGACTTAAAAATGACAGAGGCTCCATAATTTAGTCCAGCTGAGAATTAAAGCTGGCAACCAGCAAGAGGAAATCAATCCTTAGACTGTAATCCCGTGATACAGAGCCAAGGACAGAGATCATTCTGAATGTCTCTGACTGGAGTGGCTGAGGATGGGGTAGGGAAGAGAAAGGGGGCAGGATGTCCAAGTCTATAACGTGACTTGAATTGTGGGAGAAACGACAATCCTTCACGTTTCCTAAATAAAAACCGGTGCAACAACACGTATTGTTATCCTAATTAATTTAAGCCAGTTAAAAGGCTTGGGCAAACAGGCCCCATAAGTGGCTTGTTTGTGAACTGTGGCAGGTCCTGATTATGCCAGCCTCCCTTTTCAACTTCGTTCTTCTCATTCCTCGGCTTCCCCCTCCACCTCGGGCGATGTATCCTCTTCCTAGACCCAGAGGCCACTCCCGGGGAGCCCAGTTCCAGGTGTGTGAAGAGCGCCAGGGCTCTTGGCACTAAAATCCCCGAGTTGGGAGAAAACGGTCAGCCGCGCAGGGCACATTGTTCTTACGAGATCTGTCCCTGGGGTTGAAGTCAAGGCAGCCACGGCTGCCCTGAGTTTCCCATCCCCGAAATGATGTGCCGCGACAAGAGCGCAGGACTAGGAGCCGGACAGCCCTAGCGGGGTCCTACCACTTCCTGGCTTTAACATTTCAGACCGGCTCCTTTAACCGTCCAGGGTTTTATTTTTCTCATCTGCAAAAGTGTGGATGGCACTAATACCTAGCTCACAGGTGGCTGTGTAAAGGGAACGATGTTTCGCACAGCGTGCTGAAGACCTTACCCAGGAGGGTCAAAGTCGCGAACCCTCCCCGCCCCCCAACAATGCACGTTACAGACCAGCACGCCCCCACTAACGCCGCCGGCCCCTCCCGAGGAATCATGGACCGTGAAGTCCTTTGATGGCCACACCCTCGTTTGTTCTCATGGAAGTGGGAACTACGCCTCCCAGAATGCCCCGGTTAGGCCGCCTCCACGGGCGCCCTCTTCTCCGCCCCCTTTTGTGCGCAGACTCCTGGGAAGTACAGTCCCAGATCCGAGCCTGCGCGTCGGTCAGAGGGAGCCAGAAAACTACAAACCCCAGAAGGCCTCGCGCCCACGCTTCTCCCTCCCCTTCGGGAGTCGGAGTGCTGTTTTTGTTGTTGGTGAAAGGTGAGGGAACAGCTGATCCGTCTGTGGGGTAAGAAACTTGGCCTAATTGGGGGGGGTGATCGTATTGGGGGGGCCACCCCACTTTCCGGTCTGTGAAAGAACAATTTAAGGGAACTGTCGAACGGGGTTACAAGAGTGTTTGGGTTTTAACACTTTCCGTACTGGAGAAGCCACCCCCACTGTTTTGGGAGTTCTTGGTTTCGTGGGGGCCCTGAGCAGGGGGGTGCCCCTCGTTTGGCCTCGCTGCCTTCTCTGTAAAGCTTGATGATACGCTTAGGGGAGGTTACGGGAACTGAAATCTGTGCTTGTTCTCTCCCGGGCAAGACTTGGCTCCCACAAACAATAACAAATCCAAAGCCCCCTCCCCCCAACCTCCCGCAGTCCAAAGGCCTTTACTACGCTGAATCTCTGGGGGAGGGGGTGTTCAGAGTTGACGAATGTCAAGGCACTCCAGAGCTCTACAAGAGTACGGGGTGGGACACCCCCCCTCCCCTGACTACACACCTACACCGTAGGTGCCCAGAACTTTCAGGCGTGAAGAATGTTTGCAGCTGTTAGGGATTTTCTTTGTGGGGAGTATTTGAGGATTCTCCAGGCTTAGATCTTTGGGGACAAATCACCCCCCCCCAACCCTTGGAAAGCTGGAAGAATTGTATCTGGAGAAAACATGAACTTGTTTTAACAAGGAATTTTTCAGAGATGATCATCCAAAGAAACTTCTTGTCTTCCATGCAATCTCTATATTCGAGGGAGAAGTTGCTCTTTTTTGTATTGCTGGTTCATCTTTCTCTGATGAGTTTCTGTCTACTTTTAAAGTTCCTAACTTCAGCCTGGTGTAGGTTTGTGATGTTTGGGGGCGTGCACATGCCTTGTGGCGCTGGCTGATTGGACGCATGGGCTGCAGGGTGACACAGGAAGTAGATTTGTGGGCTGGAGAGGAGAGATGAATAAGAGGGCTGGCTCACAGCCCTGGGCCGAGGAGTCCTCTGGATTGTTATTATTGTTGTTATCTGTCCTCACCCCACCCTCATATTTTCCAATTAACTCTCCTCAGCTAACTTGGAATCCCCCTTCCTCTCAACCCTATCCTATAACATGTCTCCAGCTACCGATCCAAACAGATGGAAGGGTCAAGGAGCTTAGAACTAAGGCTAAGGGAGCAAAGAGAAAACGGGGAAGGAAATACTAGAGCAAAACTAGCAGATTTCTAGACCTGCTGCAGGCATGATCTGGAGAGAGGAGTGTTAGCTTCTTTTTGAACGATCTCTCCCTTTCTTCAACATTAAATATACATTCCCCCTCCTCGGGACCCCTTACTTCCCACTTTCTAGTCTGTTCCCTGTCCAGGGGTGAGTCTTTCCTGGCTCTAGGCCCCCACATTCCATCTCCCCACACCACCACGTTCCTGCTAAGTGGTTCACTCCACCCTTGAAGCTGCCGCCTCCAGAATTCTTGACTTCCTGTAATAATAAAGTTGAGGGATAGAACCTGTCTTTCCTTGTATCCTCCCCTTCCCTTTGCCTCTTGGATAAGAGCACTAGCTTTCTCCTTCTCAGAATTCATGGGGGTGGACAGCTCAGAGAGGGGGAGAGGACTGACAGCTCAGAGCCTAAGGATTGGGCTGTTGGTTCAACCAATCCTCCGCCTGCCACCCTCCAGCCCAGCCCCCATCCTCTGCAACCCCCGCAGCCATATTCCAGATCTGAAAATCCAACCATCCCTTTCAGAGATGAGTTGCTGCTTTCGGGTGTCATAACTCATTCCTGGGTACAGCTGGGTCAACATGCTTAGGGGTAGGTAAGGAGACCTGCTCAGAATGAGAGGGCCCCACACCTCGACTGGATTTTGAATTCAAGAGCCAGAAGGTGTGGGAAAGGGGATGGGAGACTGGGAGCTGGAGAATTTGGAATGCTCAAGGAGATTGAACGATGGAAAAGGGGAAACCGGGGAGGATATTGGGATACAGAGACTTGGTCAATGGGGTAATGAAAGGGAGCAAAAATTAGAGCAGTCTGAATTCTAAGAAGGGTCTGTGAGCCAGAGAGGGTACTGTGTGAAACCAGGTGGGAACCAACTTGGAATCCAGGTCTATGTTCTAGAGACTAAGAATGATACCTTCAAAAGCTCCTATAACCCACAAGGGCTGGAAACCAGGTATGTCATCTCCTGGTGTAGTGGTGTAGGGGCTATGGGTGGGTGGGTGGGAATAGAGCAGGGAGAAGGAGACGGAGTGAAGAGACTTTAGAATATCAACCCTTTCTCTCATAGGAGGGCAGGATGGAAGAATCATCATTAAGCCGGGCACCATCCCGGGGTGGAGTCAACTTTCTGAATGTAGCCCGGACCTACATTCCCAACACCAAGGTGGAATGTCACTACACCCTTCCCCCAGGCACCATGCCTAGTGCCAGTGACTGGATTGGCATCTTCAAGGTATCCCTGGAACCCCTTTTGACTTAGGTTTCTGGGCTCTGGGTTGGTTGGGATGAGGAGAATGATTAGGTTCTTCAATTCCCAATCTCAGGTTGAGATGGCGGAGGCCACCTGAATAAGCAAAGCTTATCATGCCCCCATCTCAGCCTGCTCTCTCCTGTCACATTCGTGTCCCTCCTATCTCTTGTCATTGTCGCCACTGCAGCTCCATCCTGTCCCCCTCATTCATTCCCTCAGGCCTTTCTGCCACACAGAAGTGGTATTTCCATCATCATACCCTTCCCCACCTTGGGCTTTCACAGGTCGAGGCTGCCTGTGTTCGGGATTACCACACGTTCGTGTGGTCTTCAGTGCCTGAAAGTACAACTGATGGTTCCCCCATCCACACCAGTGTCCAGTTCCAAGGTACAAGGGAAGATGGAGAACCAGGAGGGAGGAACCAAGGGAGTAGAGGTTTGAAAGAAGGTAGTGGGCTCAGAACATAAATGTTAGATGCAGAAGACACGGAAAAATAAATGCAAACAGATATAGTGAGAATATGTCCAGCAGATAAAGAATCATGGGATCATCACAGAGTTGGAGAAAACTTTAGAGGGAACTTAGTCTCACATCCTACTCAAAGGAGGAGCTTCTACTATGGAACGGGGGGGGGGGGTAGGGAAGAACATTATGTATCAGAGAAGGGGATGCTCATAAGATTCTGAGGACCTGAGTTCAAATCTCAGCTCTAATACTTATAACCTGTTTGGACTTGGGCAAATTACACAGGCACAGTGGCTCACACCTGTAATCCCTGCATTTCGGGAGGTTGAGGTGAGAGGATTGCTTGAACCCAGTGTCTGTTATCTTAACAGAAAATGGGGATGCCTTGTAGGGACAGCGTGAGGATTTAAAATACTACAGGTAAAGTCATTAGTGCATTGTCTGGTCCATGGTAACCAACATTATTATGAATCTGTGATAGAGGGGGAGTGGGAAAGAGGAAGGAGAGTATCCCAGGGAGCAGAACTCACCTGCGGGAGGTGGAGAGGATAGAAAACAGCACTTGGAACAGGGAGCAAGAGGCTAGAGTCAAGGACAGGGGCTATGTGGTGCACTGATGGGGGGGGGACCTGCTGAGCACCTGAGTGCTTGGGGGGGTCACACTGGGGTCCTGACCCATTCTTCCCCCAGCCAGCTACCTGCCTAAGCCAGGAGCCCAGCTCTACCAGTTCCGATATGTGAACCGCCAGGGCCGGGTGTGTGGGCAGAGCCCGCCTTTCCAGTTCCGAGAGCCAAGGCCCATGGATGAACTGGTGACCCTGGAGGAGGCTGATGGCGGCTCTGACATCCTGCTGGTTGTCCCCAAGGCAACTGTGCTGCAGGTGAGAAAAGAGACCCCAACGTGCTTCCAGGCAAGGGAGTGGGAGGACAGCATTGCAAGGGCCCCTTCCCACAGCACCTCCCCTCAACTGTGGCCTCAACTGAAGAACTCACTGGGAAGTCCTGCCTTCAGGAACGTCTCCATCTCACATAGACACGAACACGTAAGACAGGAAAGCACACCACCCCCAAGGCCAGCGTCATCGCATAAGACCTTGGCCAGGCACAGTGGCTCACGCCTGTAATCCCAGCATTTCGGGAGGCTGAGGTGAGAGGATCGCTTGAACCCAGGAATTCGAGACCAGCCTAGCCAACATAGCAAGACCTCATCTCTGCAAAAATAAAACAGTAATAATAAGCCAGGCATAGTGGGGCATACCTGCAGTCCCAGCTACTCAGGAGGTTGAAGCAGAAGAATCATCTGAGTTCAGGAGGTTGAGGCTGGAGTGAGCCATGATTATGCCAGAGTGAGACTCTGACTCAAAAATAATAATAGTTTTCTGAACCTTCCATCTCCAAGTGCTGCATCCTGCCCTGGCCTAGAGGAAGGTTCAAAGGGTGGCAGGAGGCTAATCCAAGGAACGTTTAGAGGAAGGGAGGAGGAGGGCTGCTCCCAGGACACATGAGGACTGAGAGCAGAGACAAAGCCTGACCCTGCGCTGTCCTGCACCAGAGACCCTTAGCCACAAGTGACCCTTGATTGAGCACTTCAGATGCAATTAATCCAAACAGAGATGGACTATATGGGTAGAATACACACTGAGTTTTGAAGACTTCATGTTTTTAAAAAATAGAAGACCTCAGTCCTTTTTATTTTGATTGTATGTTAAGATGATACTATTATGGATAGCCTGGATTAGATTAAATATTATTAAAATGAGTTCCATGACCCATCACGGTGGCTCAGCACATTGGGAGGCTGAGGTGAACAGATTGCTTGAGCCCACAGGTTCAAAAATAATCTGGGCAACTTGGCGAGACCGCATCTCCACAATACATCAAAAAATTAGCCGGGCATGGTAGCATGCGCCTGTAGTTCCGGCTACTTGGGAGGCTGAGGCCGAAGGATCGCCCGAGGCCAGCAGGTCGACACTGGGATGGCTGTGAGCACACCATCGCCCTCCAGCCTGGGTGAGGGAGTGAGATTCCAACTCAAAAAAAAATTAGTTTCACATGTTTCTTATTACCTTTTTAAGTGGCTACTAGAAAATTTTAAACCATCTATGTGGCTTGTGTTATATTTCTATTGAGCCAAATAGAGAAGAATCGGGGAGTGGAGGCAGATGTTGGCAAGGAAGACTTCATGAAGGAGAAGAGGCAGAGCGTTGGGAGGAAGTGCCTCCCCCAGACAAGGAAGAGCCTGAGGAAGGCTCAGAAAGTGAGAATGAGCAGCTTTTCTGAGATTCGGATAAACTCCTGCCCTCTAGGACTCCAAGTCTCATAAAGACCTGGAGTCGATGCAAGATGTTTCTCAGAGAAGTGAGATGAGTGTGAACTTCTCCTCTGTGTTGTTTTCACATTCATGATTCTCATTTGAACCTTACAGCAATCCAGACTAAGGGATCACTTTACAGATGAGGACACAGAGACTCAGAGAACTTAAAAACCTTGTTCAAAGTCACACAGCTAGCCAGATGCCATGGTGCACAACTATAGTCCCAGCTATTCAGGAGACTGAGGCAAGAGAATCACTTGAGGCCAGGAGTTCAAGACTGCAGTGAGCTGTGATTATACCTGTGAATAGCCACTGTGCTCCAGCCAGGGAAACATAGTGATGCCCTGTCTTTAAAAAATAAAAATAGGCCGGGTACAGTGGCTCAAGCCTGTAATCCTAGCACTTTGAGGGACTGAGGTAAGTGAATTGCCTGAGTCCACGGGTTCGAGACCAGCCTGGGCAAGTTGGCGAGACCTCATCTCTACAATAAATCGGGAAAAAAAATTAACCGGGTATGTTAGCACTCATCTTTAGTTCTGGCTACTTGGAAAGCAGAGGTGGAAGGATCGCCAAAGCTCAGCAGGTCGACGCTGGGGTGGCTGTGAGTGTGCCATTACCCTCTAGCCTGGCTGATGGAGCGAGACTCTAACTCAAAAATAAATAAGTCACACAGCTAGTAAAATTGTACTGGAGATTTGAACCCAAATCTATCCAACCCCAGAACAGAGAGGGTTAAAATGAGGAGAGCCATCCCTTTTGTCTGTATTCATTGAAAAAGCCTTGTACCCCAAGTAGGGATTCCTGCAGTTGCTGGGTGAAGAAAGGGCCAGGCCTCGGGTAGGAAAAAGGAAGATAGGAATGGCAGTTAAGAGTGCCGTGAGCTGGTGCATCTGACTGGCAGTGGGCAGGGTTCGACAGCACACCACACCTCCCCTTACTTGCCTCCTTCCAACCCAGACCGATGTAACTTCCCAACTCCCAAATGCACCTGAGAGTGGTGCAGAAGGGCCTCAAAGTGGGCGCCTCCCAAGCACTCCCCCTTCTCATCCTGTCACCTCCAGAACCAGCTGGATGAGAGCCAGCAAGAACGGAATGACCTGATGCAGCTGAAGCTGCAGCTGGAGGGGCAGGTGACAGAGCTGAGGAGCCGAGTGCAGGAGCTCGAGAGGGCCCTGGCAACCGCCAGGCAGGAGCACGCAGAGCTGATGGAGCAGTACAAGGTGGGAGTGAGGCCACGCAGCGGGCGGGGCCCGGTTGTCCACCCAGTGTCCAAAATCTGAACCTAGCAAAGAGGGTAGAGGAGAGATGTTAGCAGGCCTTTAAGATGGTTCTGACATCAAGGAAATCACTTTAAGGGGTAACAGGTGGGAATAAGCTTGGCCGGGCATGGTGGCCCAAGCCTGTAATCCCAGCACTTTGGGACCCTGAGGCAAGAGGATTGCCTGAGCTCAGGTTCAAGACCAGCCTGGGCAACTTGGTGAGACCTCATCTCTACAATAAATCAAAAAATAACGGCATGGTAGCGTGCGTCTGTGGTTCCAGCTACTTGGAAGGCTGAGGTGGAAGGATCGCCTGAGTCCAGCAGGTCGAGGCTGCGGTGTCTGGGAGCGTGCCACTGCACTCCAGCCTGGGCAACAGAGACTCCAATTTAAAAAAAACAGGAGCCGGGCTCGGTGGCTCAGCCTGTAATCCCGCGCCTTTGGGAGGCTGAGGTGAGTGGATTGCCTGGCCCTCGGGTTCGAGACCCGCCTGGGCAGCAAGACCTCATCTCTACAATAAAAGCAAAAAATTAGCTGGGCGTGGTAGTGCGTGCCTGTAATTCCGGCTACTCGGAAGGCTGAGGTGGAAGGATCGCCAGAGCCCAGCAGGTCGAGGCTGCGGTGGCCGGGAGCGGCCACTGCACTCCAGTCTGGGCGACAGAGTGAGACTCCAACTCAAAAAAAAAAATAAAAAATAAAAAATAAAAAATAAAAAAATAAAAAAAACAGGAATAAACTTGATATGACAAGAGACATGCCCCAGGCTTATAATGAGATGCAGTTCTTTGAACATAAGAATGCTGGGTAGGTGCAGGCAGCCATATTCACAGCAAGGGAAATCTTTTAGTTTATTTTCCAAGGAAGGCAACGGGATAGGGGGCGGGAGCAGTCAGACTCTACTGTCTCCTCCTAAGCCTGTGCTTCACCATTTGAGAGATGAGTCTCAACTCTCTCTTCTGGGAAAACTTTGATTTCAGGGGATTTCCCGGTCCCATGGGGAAGTTACAGAAGAGAGGGACATCCTGAGCCGGCAGCAGGGAGACCATGTGGCGCGCATCCTGGAGCTGGAGGATGACATCCAGACCATCAGTGAGAAAGTACTGACGAAGGAGGTGGAGCTGGACAGGTGAGGGGAACCCCCCCATCCCTTCCCTTCCGTTCCTCCGACCCCGCACTCCAGCCTCCTGTTTGAGACAGGCCGGCCTGCTCTGCCTCGCGTGGCTTCCCTCCCTTCTCAGCCTCATCACGGTATTCCTGCCCTGTTCTCTTCCATCTTTCCAAACGCTAGTCCTCATTCCTCACCTTCAGAAATAATCATGGTTGCCATGTGTTGTGCAGCAAAAGCTAAGCAAGAGCTAGGAGTGGAGGATTTGGAAGAAGAGAAAGGATAGGACAGTCAGCACAAGATAAGAGAGGATGGATTTCAAATTTTACCCCGGGAAAGATAAGGTTAGACTCTGTTCTTACTATTAAGAAATGCATCCCAGCACTTTGGGAGGCCAAAGTGAGGGGATTGCCTGAGCCCAGGGGTTCGAGACCAGCCTGGGCAACTCTACAATAAATCAAAAATCAGCCGGGAATGGTAGCATGCGCCTATAGTTCCAGCTACTTGGAAGGCTGAGATGGAAGGATCACCTGAGCCCAGCAGGTCAACACTGGGGTGTCCGTGAGTGTGCCACTGCACTCCAGCCTGGGCGACGGAGTGAGATTCCAACTCAAAAAAGAAAAAGAAAGAAATGCTAGGCCAGGCATGGTGGTTCATGCCAGTAATCCCAGCACTTTGGAAGGCCAAGGTGAGATGATTGTTTAAGCCCAGGAGATCAAGGCAACATAGCAAGATCTCATCTCTACAAATAAAATAAAATTAACTGAGCGTGGTAGCATGCACTGTAGTCCCAGCTACTCAGGAGACTGAGGCAGAAGGATTGCCTGAGCACAGGAGGTCGAGGATACAGTGAACCGTGATTGTGCCACTGTACACTAGGCTGGACAACAGAGTGAGACTCAGACTCCAAAAAAAGAGAAAAATAAAATAAAATAAAGAACTGGTGACCTACGAATGTTAATAGTATCTCTCCCCTGAATAAAGGTACAAGTCATAGACTCTTAGCATTGGGAGGAATGTAAGAGATCACCCTCACTGGCAACCTCTTTTGACTATTAGATGTCTAACTGTCATTTTGTATCTCTTGAATTGAGCCAGACTCTACCCCCCTATTACTTACCACTGGGTCCTGGTGAATAAATGTATTTCTTCTACCAGAAAACTATTATTTCTACCAAATAGCATAAATATGTCTCTTCTTCAAATTCCCACGAAGTAAAACTCCCTAGTTCCTTCATTCGTCAAATGACAGAATAAATTTTCAGTCATTATCTGTAGGTTTGACTTTTTTTTTTAAACTCCTTAAAGGAAAGAGACATTCTCTCCTAGAGGAATAAGTGAGTTGACCAAAGAAGCTTCTTCAGGATATATTAGTCTTGCCTTAAGAGGATAGTTGATGCCTATGTTCTAAGTCATAGAGTAGAAAAGCAGGAATCAAACTGAGCACCTGGAAAAGACTAGGGACTGTCTAGACCAGGGGTCAGCAAACTATGGTCCACAAACAGATCTAGCCTACCATCTGTTTTTGTATAGCCCACAGGTAAGAATGGTTTTTACATGTTTTAGTGGTTGATGAACAAATTAAAAGAGGAATATTTTGTGATATGTGAAAATTATATGAAATTCAAATCTCAGGGTTCATGAGTGAAGTTTTATTGGCGCATCATGCCCATTTATGTACACATTGTCTATGGCTGTTTCCTTACTACAGTGGTAGAGTTCAGAAATTGCCACGAAGACCACAAGACCTGAAGAGCTTAAAAGATTTACTGTCAGGCCCTTTACAGTAGGAAAAGTCTGCCAACTTCTGGTCTAGATCAAAAGTTTATAATCATCAATGACTGCTCCTTGGCTAGTAAAGACCAAATTCTAGTCTCTTGACTAGATTGAGTGAAAACAACCAGGGAACCACCAGAAAAACATTCCTTAAAATATTACATAAAAATATAAGAAAAACTCTTTTATTTCCTGATTGTGCTCTAGAACCTGGAATCTTAGAGCTTAGAACTGGATCATCTGGTTTGGGGATTTACACATCCTAGAGCTAGATGAAGTCTAGGCCTAGAGTAGCACCAGTAGGAAAGCACAAGGCAGAGTCTGGAGTCCTTCATTCCTTCTCTGGGTGACCAGATTATCTAACATATCATCCCCACTCACAGGGTTAGAGACACAGTGAAGGCTCTGACTCGGGAACAGGAGAAGCTCCTTGGGCAACTGAAGGAGGTACAAGCAGACAAGGAACAAAGCGAGGTAAGGGGCTCGGAATTGGTTTGCTTTCTCTGTTGTTCAGCCAGTGTTTATTAAGTCTCTTCTAATTGCTGGGCTCCAAAGGGGACAAAAATATAAAGAAGACATTGTATATGCTCCAGAAGGAGCATCAGACATATACCTAAGTCAAGATTTGTCCACGTGCCATCTAAGAAGTGTCACAAGAGAAAACTAGTAAGTGTTATGGGACTCCAGAGAGGTGGCTGAGAGCACATCTTGTTAGAGACATTAGAAAAGCCTTTTGGGCATGGTGGTTCACTCCTATAATTCCAGCACTTTGGAAGGTGGAAGCAAGAGGATTACCTGAGCCCAGGGGTTCAAGACCTGCCTGAGCAACTTGGCGAGACCTCGTCTCTATAATAAATAAAAAAATTAGCCGGGCACAGTGGCATGCACTTGTAGTCCCAGCTACTTGGAAGGATCGCCTGAGCCCAGTAGATCAAGGCTACAGGAGCCTTGAGCATGCCACTGCACTCCAGCCTTGGCAACAGAGGCTCTGACTCAAAAAAATAAAATAAAATAAATAAAAGAGAGCATGAACTAGCTTAGTCCTTTCCAACCTTTTTAGCAAGAGAACCCTTTTCTCCCTGCCAACCAATGACATTTCTCATCTCACTAAACAAACAAAAACTATTTTATTGCTATACATTCATTTGTATAAATTCAAATATATAACATTTACTTATAAGGTAATGAAAGTGATTAGGTGATTTCGAGGTACACCAAACTTCAAAATTAGAGGTCAGAGCTGACTGTTCTGTCAGCTTCAGCATCAAACTCATTTCTGTATTTGATTTTGGTTGTGCAACATTGAGAACACTGTGAGTCACACACAGGTAGGTACAAATGATCACCATTTTTAAACTGTGCACCTTGTCATCTCGGTTTACTCTTTAATTCAGTAGAAAATATACTAAAAACTAGATTCTAAGGTTTGCACAAAAGTGAGTTAACCTCACAGTGCATGTTGATAAAACCATATGCTCTCCCATGTGTTAACTTGTAAGTTTGTATGTTGGTTTTTTTTTTTTGGTTTTTTTTTTGAGTTGGAGTCTGTCTGTCACCCAGACTAGAGTGCAGTGGCCGCTCCCGGCCACTGCAGCCTCAACCTGCTGGGCTCCATCTATCCTTCCACCTCAGCCTTCCAAGTAGCTGGAACTACAGGCGCGCACTACCACACCCAGCTAATTTTTTGATTTATTGTAGAGATGAGGTCTCACCAAGTCGCCCAGGTGGGTCTAGAACCCGCGGGCTCAGGCTATCCACTCACCTCAGCCTCCCAAAGTGCAGGATTACAGGCTGAGCCACGGAGCCTGGCTGTATGTTGTTTTTTTAACTTTTTTTTTTTTGAGTTGGAGTCTCACTCCGTTGCCCAGGCTGGAGTGCGGTGGCACTCTCACAGCCACCCCAGCGTTGATCTGCTGGGCTCAGGCGATCCTTCTGCTTCAGCCTTCCAAGTAGCCAGAACTACAGGTGTACACTGCAACACCTGACTAATTTTTTGATTTATTGTAGAGATGAGGTCTCACTAAGTTGCCCAGGGTGTTCTCAAACCCATGAGCTCAGGTAATTCCCTCCCCTCAACTTTCCAAAGTGCTGGGATTAAAGACTTGAACCACTGTGCCCAGTCCATAATTTTTAATAATTTATAAGATGTTCAAATTAAATATTGGCAGCACCCTAAATCGCTTCCTTAGAAGCCTGGTTTTGTGTGGAAGATGGTTTAAAAACCCTTTGCTCAGTGGTGAGAATAGGTAGAATTTGAATAGACAGAAACAAAATGAGGGAGGCCATTCTAGGAACAGATATGATCAAAGGCTTAGCCACCAGATGGTACAGGACAGTTGAATATATGGGTAAAGAATCTGAGATAAGACCTAGGTCAGGTTGCAGAAGATCTTGAGTTTAGTCTTTTTTTTTTTTTTTT